GTAGTTCACATATTTAAATAATATTAATTCTTCCAGCCTGTGAAAGTATGGGCATGCTTGTTTTGTCCTTTATCTTAAGGAAAAGCTTTAGCTTTTCACCATTGAGTATGATGTTAGATGTGGATGTGTCAGTAAACAACTCTTATTTTGTTGCGGTATGTCCCCTCCATACGGAATTTGTTGAGAGTTTATTGTGAATAGATGTTAAATTTTGTCAAATGCTTTATCTGTGTCTGTAGAGATGATCATGTACTTCTAACCCTTCATTTTCTTAGTTTGGTGTATCACATTGGTTTGTAGATATTGAACCATTCTTGCTTTCCTGGAATACTGCTTGATCATGATGTATAATTCTTTTTATGTCTTTTGAACTATCTGCTAATATTTTGTTAAGAAATTTTGCATGTATATTCATCAGAGATACTGGCCTGCAGTTTTGTTTTGTTTTGTTTTCTTTTCTTTTCTTTTTTTCTTTTTTTTTTTTTTTGTAGTGTCTTTTTCTGGTATTAGTATCAGGGTAATACTGGCCTGAAACTTGCAGAATGAGTTTCAGAATGTTTCCCTCCTCTTCAGTTTTGGTAATAGTTTGAGAAGGATAGATATTAACTCTTCCTTAAATGTTTGATAGAATTCCGCTGTGAAGCCTTCTAGTCTTTGAATTTTTGTTTGGAGTTTTTGATTACTGATTTGATTTTCATTACTGATAATTGGTCTGTGCCAATTTTCTATTTATTTATTCCTGATTCAGGCTTAGAAGATTGTAATGTGTAGGAATTTATCTGTTTCTTCTGGGTTGTTCAGTTTGTTGACATATAAGTGTTTGTAATATTCTCTTATGATTGTTGTACTTCTTTTATAGTGGTTGTAACTTCTCTTTCATTTCAAATTTTATTTGCCCCCCCCCCGTTTTTTTTTTTCTGAAGAGTGTGGCTAAAGGCTTATCAGTTTCATCTAAACCAGTTCTTGGTTTCATTGATCTTTTCTATTATTTTGCTTTGGTCTCTATTTCTGCTCTGACCTTTATTATATTCTTCCTTCTACTACTTTTGGGCTTTATTCTTTTTGTAATTCCTTTAGATGGAAAGTTAAGTTGTGTATTTAAGATTTTTCTTGTATCTGAAGGTAGGCTTGTATTGCTGTAAACTTCCCTCTTGGAACTGCTTTTACTATGTCCCACAGATTTTGGAAAGTTGTGTTTCTGTTTTCATTTGTCTTGACGTATTTTTTTGGTTCCTTCTTTGATTTCTTCATTTATGAACTTTTTTTTTTAGTAGCATGTTGTTTAGTCTCTACATGTTTGTGTATTTTTCTGTTTTTCTTTCTGTAATTGTTTTCTAGTTTCATCATGTGGTTGGAAAAGATGCTTGATATAATTTCAGTCTTCTTAAATTTATTGAGACTGTTTATATGGTTTAGCATGTGACCTGTCCTGAAGAAAGTTCCATGTACACTTGAAAAGAGTGTGTATTTTGCTATTTTTGAATGAGATATCTATTCTGTAGATATATATTAAGTCTGTCTGGTCTAATGTGTCATTTAAGGCCACTGTTTCCTTATTGATCTTCTGTCTGGATGATATACCCATTGATGTAAGTGGGCTATTATAGTCCCCTAGTATTATTGTATTACTGTCAGTTCTTTCTTTTATCTCTATTAGTCTTTGCTTTATATATTTAGATGATCCTATATTAATAGTTGCATGTATGTTTATGAATGTTACATCTTCTTGGATTGACCTGTTTGTTGTTATATGATACTTTTCTTTGTTTTATTGTAGATTATGTTTTAAAGTCTATTCTGTCTCATCTGAGTAGTGTTACTCCATAAGCCATGATTCTTATATGTTGTAAGGAGATACTATTAAAACTATCTTTCACAGTTTATTCTGGAACTTAATATCATAGGTGGAATTGCTGTAACACAACACTGTAGACTAGGTGGCTTAAACAGCAGATGTTTATTTCTCATAGGTCTGGAGTTTGAGAAATGCAAGATCAAGGTGCAGGCAGATTTGGTTCCTGTTGAGAACCCTTTCCTAAAGTGAAGATGGCCACTTTTTTGCTTTGTCCTCACATGGTGGAGAGAGAGAGGGAGCTGGACTGCCTCTTCCTTTTCTTATGAGGACACTAATGCCAGCACGTGGCCCTTGCCCTCATGACATCATATAAACCTAATTACCACACTTCCACATACCATGGCTTTAGAGGTCAGGTATTTAACATATACATTTTGGAGGGACACAAACATTCAGTCTGTAATACTTAATCGCTTCTCTGCCTCCACCTGAGGGGGATGATTCTATTTTTATTTTTAATTTGCTCTTAGTATGAACATTACTTATTGTAAATAATTCTGACATCCTAGAGGAACAGATTGAAAACTAAAAGTCCTTTCTTTTAATCCTTAGTTATTCCACTCCTTAGAGTAATTAATGTTACCTTCCAGAATATACAAAAATTTACTATCAGTATATGTAGAGGCATATATAGCTATTTTTTTTACATTTAGATCTCCAGTCCATCTGGATTTGTGTGTGTGTTTAGTATAAAGCAGGGATTTATTTCCAAATGTTTGGCTCTTGTTCTTTCAGCATATCTTGACTAATTCATTATTTCCCCACTCATGAAACATATTACATACTGTATATTATTATATGTGTATTTGTATGCTTCAATTATTTTAAGGTACTGTTAGTAAGCTTTTTATTATTTTTGTTTTAGTATTTTTCCTCCCCCTAATTGTGCCATTGTGGGGTTTTTTGGTAATATTTTAAAGCATATTGTCCTTATTCTAGTTTCCAGAATTTTTTCATGGTTTTCACTGCAGTTGCTTTCAATTTGTTAACATGGGGAAATTGGACATCTGTGTAGTATTATGCTTTCCTTCTCAGAAACATGACATATCTTCCATTAATTCAAGTCAGTTGCTCAAATCTGTAGGTTCTTAACATTATTCGTGGATGTTTTGAATATTAATATACTGCAAATATTCATTGTCTTTTTCTACACTAAATTTGTAAAGGTTATCATGTATTATAACATGTTAGAGTATACATTTTGTATACATTTTTCATGTTTTGCAAGCAGCCACATTATTTGTTCTAATAGCCCTTTACTTTGCCTTCTTAGATTTTTCTAGTAATAGGTTTTTCAAATAATAATTTTATCTTTGTTTCTTTCTAATATTTATTCTCCCCTGTTTTGTTTTCTTGTCTCATTCCACAAGAATTTCCAGGCTCTGTTGAATGGTAATAATGATATGCACTATCTTGTCTTGATCTTTCTTTAATAACCATGCCTCTCCTTTTTATTTTAGTGTTATGATGGCCATTGATTTGAGAAGAATCTACTTTATTATTAAAAATCCTTTTTTCTCACTTGTTAGTTTTTTTAATGTCAAATAACACATCAAATTTTGTTAAGTGCCTTTTCAGTCTCAGATGTGACCTTTCACTGTGATGAATAGTCTGAAAGTATTCTTACATTCTTGAATATTCTGCTTGATCGTTGTCCTTTTTAAAATACAGAGTTGTGTATTATTTTATAATGTATAAAATTTTTAATATTCATATATTGCTTTTTTATTTGTGTATTTTCTAGTGTAGTCCTAGGTTTATGATAGATTGCTAAAGTACATTAGAATATTTACACATTTTATATGTCTTAGATTTAATTTTAAAAGCTTCTTAATTATCTACACTTGAACACATGGTAGGGCATGAATGGTAAATTTTTTGGACTTGATACATTTTTTAGTGAAATAGTTAAAAAAACTTTTTTTTTTTTAACCACATAGCTGTTAAGTAGTCAGTATGAATTTTCAGTCTTTTTTTTTGAAATATCCTTAGTCATCTCTTGGATCGTAAAGTTTTCCTTCTTACCTAGCTGTATATCTGGGTTTTTTTTAAATATATTCATTTATGTTTTTTTCTCCCAAAAAGGTTAATGAAAATAATATTGTGTAAAGTTTTTGTTGTTGTTTAGAACCATTTAAAGTGATACCCTTGTGAATTTTTGTGTTTATTTAATGATATTAATTAAACATAACTCTAAAATGTAAAGGTATTTATATAGTTTCCATATCCAGATGCTAATACTGGTTTACTTCTTGGTTTGAGGATTTATTTTGTCAGAACATATATGTGAGTTTTAAGCTCTCCATGGACTTGTTATATATGTTCTCATATATTTGTCAGTGAGGAGTATATTGCTTGAGTTTAGTATGAGTGAATATTAGTCTTGTTTCCCTTAAAATTATTTAGATTTGGTCCATTGCTTTTAGGAAGGAAATCAGTAGTATAAGGGTGATGTTTGATATTATTTTATTTTAACTTTTGATTGTGAAAGTTTTTTCTTCATGAAATGGAAAAAAATTGATTTCACATTTATATGTGGCTTTTGGTTTTCTTGTTAATGTTTTCTGACATTTGGTCTATCTTAAAAATGAAGAGTTTCATAGTTTTTTGGTAGAATAATCCTCCAGAAGAAGATACTTTGGTATTGTACGTGGTTTGACATCCTAAATGCATCAGTTGTCTATTGTTGAGTAACAAAATACCCTGCAACTTAGTAGTTTTAGAACAGCATACGTTTATTATCTCTCCATTTCTTTGGGTCAGGAATCCAGACATGACTCAGCTGGGTCCTTTGTTTCAGAGTCTCCCAAGGCTACAGTCACGGTGACAACTAGGGCTCGGATTTTATCTGGAGACGTGACTGGGGAAGGATCTGCTCCTGAGCTTTATTTTGGCCCAATCTAGTGCTTTTCCCACTATTGATGATTACTTGATTTATTTAGGAGTCATTCTGTGGGTCTTAAATCCAACCCTAGGAACATCCTCTGTTACTCAGTCGTGTGTGTGTGTGTGTGTGTGTGTGTGTGTGTGTGTATACTTGTAGGAGGGGAAGAAGGGAGAAAAGACAGGAAGGGAGGGAATTTGATCATATGGTCGCATAACTTTTTTTCTATTTTTAAAAACTATTCTTTTCTTTTTTCCTTAGGTGCCTTAGCTGGACCAATTATTGTGGAGCCACATGTCACAGCAGTTTGGGGAAAGAATGTTTCGTTGAAGTGTTTAATTGAAGTAAATGAAACTATAACACAAATTTCATGGGAGAAGATACATGGCAAAGGTTCACAGACTGTTGCAGTTCATCATCCTCAATATGGATTCTCTGTTCAAGGAGAGTATCAGGGAAGAGTCTTGTTTAAAAACTATTCACTTAATGATGCAACAATTACTCTACATAACATAGGATTCTCTGATTCTGGAAAATACATATGCAAAGCTGTTACATTCCCGCTTGGAAATGCACAGTCCTCTACAACTGTAACTGTATTAGGTAGGTATACTTAAACCATGTATTTTGGCAGTAGTGGTGAGGATTATATTAAAAGTATTTTCAAGAAATTAAAATGATTGAAATTATATATAAATACAGGTTTAAATAAAAATTCAAACATTGTTTTTCAAGTTCTGTCTTAAAATTCTGTGATTCTAGACTCTCAGTGTAAACAAAATGTTGTCTTTAGCTACCTGTCTATAATGCTATATAGTTTATAGCTGTTTTACTTTCTTCGTGAAAGGTTCTTTTATTTATATTATCAAGTCCTGAGTTTCTTTAACTTTTAATTGTTTTCCCTCAAATTTTCAACCTTTAATTAAGTTACCACTTTTAAATAAGCTTTTCCATTTTTTTAAGTGACTGTGGCCTTGGAGCCATTGATATCTCATGTTTGTTTTTCAAGTCAGATTTTATTTCTCCTGTTGCGGATTCGCATAGCTGTTTGAATCTTGGGCTATTGCTTGCATTGACTGATCTTTGGCCTTTTCCTGTCTGATAACTATTAAAGTTTATGGTGGAATTTAGAATGAGCTTATTAGCATTAAGATAGCCACCTGCAGTGAAAGGTAAACCAATTTGGAATAGCTGGTACTTTTGGAATACTAGAACAAGAATTAAGAGTAATAGCAATCTTAGCCATTTCCACCCAAGCTGAGGCTCCTTTAACAGTCAGTCTTTGCTCTGAATCTGCCTGTTTGCCTGTCAGGGACTTTGTCAGATCTGCAGATAGCTCCCCCATCCCCTACTTATCCTTCTTTACTTTTCTCCCGGATGTTGTTTCCTAATAAGCCTTTTGCACACCTCACTTGATCTCAGTGTCTGCTTCCAGAGAACCAAACAACCACACAGCCCCGAATATTTAATGGCATAATTTCAGGGTCTCTGAAGTACAGCAAAGCATTGTTTCCTCAAATTTGCTGTATTATTTTTTTGTGTTGAAAAGTACTGTTTAAAAATAAAAATTAAATATTTGAGGACTTTGTATGTTTAAGACCCTGCCCTAAGAACTGTGGGGAACTATAACTTATGTTTACAAAATTGATACTTTTGAGAATTGATTGGAAGGCAAGGAAGGCATAAATATCTGAAAAATCAAGTGCAAGCCATCAAGGTAAAAAAAAGTCACAAAAAATTCAATGTCAAGAAAATAATAGTTTGTATGTGGAAGAGAGAACTCATGAGAATGAAATTTTTTTGCTTTAAATTTTAGTAATTCCCATAACCTTAATATAATACTCAATGTTATATATGAAACTCAAGAATGTTTATACTATAAAACTAGTCATGATTTTACCTGGGTGTACTTCTCTAACTTCATCTATACTATTCCTTGCTTCACTTTTCCCAGCATCTCAGATTTTTTAATCATTATTAATTACTTGCAGTCTGTTACCACCTATGTTTTTACGTGTGTTTTTCTTTATGCCTGGATTGCCACCTTTCCCCCTTTCTCCTCCTGCATTCTGCTCAACTGCTACTCATCAAACCACATCCTTTTCCAAGTCATTCTTGAAATTTCTACTACTCCTGCAATTTGATGGATTTTTTTCACTCTTTTGCTGTTGTGTCTTGAGCTTCTTTTTAGTGTAGAAATTACCATAATGCATATTATATGTCCTCTCCACTATAAACGTGTGGTACACTGCAAGTCTACACTTTAAAATTTAACTTTGTATCCCTAAAGCCTGTAAGAGTTCTTGATATATAGCAGTCATACACTAAATGTTTAAGGAGCGTATAGAAATGGGTTAGTAAATTTGGTAGTTTAGAAATGTTTTGTAGAAAAAAATAGTTGAGCAAGCCCTTGAAAGGTGGGTAGGTTTTAGGTAGGCCAAAAGGAGAGTAAGTGAGCCAATGCAGGGAGGCAGAAAACAGTACATATTAAGGCAGAGTTTCTTCAACATTGGCATTGTTGAAATTTTGGGCTGGAATTCTTTGTTGTGGTGAGCTGCACTGTCCATTGTAGACTATATAGCAGCATCCATGGCCTCTACCTGCTATTTGCTAGTAGCGCTTTTCCTCAGTTGTTCAACTTAGAATATCTCCCGACATTGCCACTTATTTCTGATGGACCACTGAATACTCTGTTGATTGTTGACAGGACTAATATAAAATACAAAAATTAAAGGCTGGAAAGGTAGAGTAGGACTGCTTTAAAGTGACCTGAATATTAAGATGGGGAATTTGAGCTTTATTTTACTGAAATGAAAACTTGGTATACACTTCTGTGCTCTTTCTCACCTTCCTTCTTTTATTCTCAGATTCTTGCAATTTTAAGTGTGGTTCATGAACCAGCAGCAATGGCATCGTTTGGGAGCTCATTAGCAATATAGAATTACAGACCCTTCCCAGACTTGTTGAGTAATAGATCTACATTTTAGCAAGATCTCCCCAGTGATATGTACACACAGTAAAGTTTGAGAAACACTGCTTTGACTCTTCTCATCTTGATTAGAGGGGTGCCTAATTCATAGACTTGATATAGGGAGTAATGTGATGAAAGTTGTGATTTAGGAAGATCAGTCTGGTGTTTTCGATGGATTAAAATGAAAAGAGGTCTTGAAATTGTAATGCTTTAGCCATGAGGCCATGAAAGCTTGAACTTAATTTTCTAATTTCTGCCACTTGAGTGAGGAAGGGAACTATTACAAAGGAAAAAGTAGCAGAACTTTGTAACTGACTGGATATAAGAAACTAGGGAGGTTTGAACAATAACAAGTTTTGAACCTTGGTGATTGAGTAAATTGTTACCATTCATTTAAATGGGCATGTTTGAATGAAAAACAGATGTTGGGGATTGGGAGAATGAGATGAGTTCAGTATTTTGTTTATTGAATTTGATGATACATAGAGAAAAGAATCCCAGATAGGCGGTTAGAAACTATAGAGTCAAGTTTTATATCAAAATTGAATAAAATTAGGGATCATCTAGGTAGTAGTGTTTATCAGATAAACCAATTGGTTTAATACCAATTTAGTACATGTGAGAGGAAACTTTTGAGGCAGAGGAAAGAACCAGCAGAAAGAAGTAGGCTTAACAATCCTGGCGTTAATACAGGGCTGGGAAAGCTTCATGTTCCTCTCAGTCAGAATACAGGGCGTAGGTAGCATCTTAAGCGGAAGCAACAGCGGAACTGCTAGACAGGGAAGGGTACAGAGAAATTAACTAAAATGTTGAGGTATATGAGAAAAGAAACTTTATAAAGCCAATAACCTCTACAACCAGGAGATTGATTCCTTTTAGAAGTAGTGGAAATAGTTTAAGTTTCTCCAACAAAAGCTTCTAATGATGGCACAGGTTGGTCACACAAACTCTCCCATGGTGGGGCAGGGGATGGGGATGAAATATAAAAAGCAGCATTGAAAAATTCAAAGAAGCAGCAACGTAGTGAGGAATATAGCTAGGCCAAAATCTAGGAAAAGGCTAAAACATGGAAATAAGCCTAGCACTGAAAGCTGAAATCCGTATTCAACCTTGGGGACATTTGACAATTCAGAAGAAACACCTAAGATGATGAGCTAAGATTTTGAGATCCCTGAGAAGTAAGAGAGACAAATATCTGAACGTAATTCTACTCAAGGTAGGATGTCTAATAACCCTTCTTATATTCTCTTGATACCGAAAGGCTTGTATTTTCAGAATTGTAGTACACCAGCAGCAAACCAGCCTCCTTACAGACTTCTGGGCCTTGTTTATATCACTTGAGTAGTCTGAAATTAGGAAGATCCTGAACTGGATAGTGTTTCTCAGGCGCTAGCTTAGCAGAAGAAAACACAAATCTTTTCTGAAAGAATGGTACCTTTATTCTAAGCCTCAAATTATTTCTACCTTAATTATTCAATCACAGGCTTATCATCTGCTTGAATAATCAGACATATAGGTAAAGAAAACCCCACAAGCAACAGCCACACAAACAAGACAACAGAAACAGGCCTGCATAAGATGTTGGCATTATCAGACACAGACTATTAAACAACAGTGCTTGCCATTTGAAGGAATAAGTCAATCTATAAAATTTCTGCGGAGAATAGGAAACTATACATAAAAAAATTCATATACTAATTTGCCCTTGAAATAGAGAAGTATTTCTTAGTACACGTGTATGTTGGAGGTATTATGGGTTCAATTCTAGACCACCTCAATAAAGCTAATTTTATAATAAAGGGAGTACCACAGTAAAACCATCACATGAATTTTTGGTTATCAATGTTATAAAAATTATGCTTTTACTGTATTGTAGTCTGTTAACTGTGCAATGCCATTATGTCTAAAAAAATGTACCTACCTTAATTTAGAAAACTGTTGTTAAACAATGCTAACCATCATCTGAGTCTTCAGACAGTTACAATCTTTTTGCAGTAGTAACATCAAAGATCACAGATCATCATAACAAACATAATAATAATGAAAAAGTTTGAATTATTGTGAAAATTACCAAAATGTGACACAGAGATAGAAAGTAAGCAAATGCTGTTGGAAAATGGTGCTGATGGACTTGGTCAACTTATGGTTTGCCACAAACCTTCAATTTGTGAGTAACGCAGTATCTGTGAAGCACAGTAAAGCGAAGTGCAGTGAAACAAGGCATGCCTGTATATAAAGGCAGTCAACTGATGAGTTTTATAGATTTGAATGAAAACTTCTGCTTATCAAGACACAGCATAGGGTAAAGATACAAGCCCTAGACTGGTGAAAGATATTTGCACATATACTTGGAAAAGGCCCCCTTCTCCCATATCAATAAGAAAAAAAAATTGGCTTTAAAAGCTATTTTGCAGAAGAAATTCCAAATGGCCCCAAAACATGAAAAGATCATTAACCTCATTCTTAATCTTAGAAATTACAAATAAGATCCCAATGATATGCTGTTACTTACTTATAAGATTGGCAAACATTGAGAAATCTGACAGTATCACCTGTAGTGAGTGTTTTAGACCGATCAGAGTGCTAAGATTGGGAGTAAATTGGTACTTTGGGAAGCTTTTTGGCATTATCTGCTAAAATTGGAAGTAAAAGTAGTCATAACAGTTTCAGTATAAGGGAAAAACTAGAGAAACTTTTGTACAAATATAACAAAATACACAGTAACAGAATGTTTCCAGTAAAATTGTATCAAACAGGAAATAGCACCTATGTCCAACAGTAAATGAATCATACAATAGTTAAAACTAATAATTTATACAATTACATGCAAATCTAAATGACCTTAAAGTAAAAAGTTAAGAAAATGAATTGCAAAGTAATCAACTAAGATGCTCCCACATAAATGAATCTCAGGAACACAAAATTGAGTCAAAGAAAAAATATTAAAAAATATAGTCTGATTTCATTAAACAATACATGTGTCTGATTCTGTTCATTTAAAGTTCAAAAGCAGATGAAATTGTTGTTTAGGTTTGCACTTGCTAGTTGTAGAACTTTCATGAAAAGTAAGCAAAAAGTTATTTCCAAAGGTTAGTATAATGGTTTCACAGTTGAACAGGCAGGGTGTTATTATGAAGACGGGGCATATGAGGGACTTGGGAGGTGCTAATATTTTTTATTAAGATGTGTGGTGGTTACATGAACGTTTGCTGTAAATTATTCATTACATGTGTTTCAAGCGCTTTTCCTTTTGTTACTTTTATAATAATACATCTTAAAAAGAGTAAATGCTTAAGGAGGATATCCCTTAAAATATATTACGAAACAAATATGTAGATAGCAATCAAGAACAGATGACATTGAAAGAACCAACTGGAATCTTGGAAATGAAAAAAAGTCTTTCAGATAAAAAACATAATGTATGCAGTAAACTAGGCTTGAGCCAAAGAATTCATGAAGTGAGTACTGAAGAATTTATATGGAAAGAAGCTCAAAAAATTTGCTTGAAAATGTAAGGAGATAGCTAGGATATATGGCGGGTAGATTGAAGGGTCTAACATTAAGGTTACTTCCACTGCTGAGGCGCTTTCATACCAGAAAAAAGATAGGTAGCATGTAAATTCCAATAGACATAACTATTAGTGACATTATATTTTAACAATACCTATTTTAAATGTTTTAAACAATTTCTTGCAAAATGAAGCATTCTATATTAAAACCACTTTTTTTTTCTCTTCAGAGTAGTAGTACCCTTAACTTCATAATGGAAATGATCAAATTCACAAGAATTTTTATTATATACTAATTTGGGGGAAAACTCACTTGTCCCTGTAAAGAAAAGTGTATCTCTACCAAAGAGAGCCATCTTTGTAATGGTTATTGGCTTCTTGTTTGTCCTGGCTCATGATCTTCTCTTGTTGCAAGAATCCATTTGGTGTTGACATTACCTGTGTGTATTTTTTATATGCAGTTGTCTCTAAGTTTATGAAATATGGCTAGATGTGGCTTGGAAGGATGTAGATATACTCTTAATTGAAAAGTAACTCATTTTTTTTTTAATTTAAACAGTTGAACCCACTGTGAGCCTGATAAAAGGGCCAGATTCTTTAATTGATGGAGGAAATGAAACAGTAGCAGCCATTTGTATCGCAGCCACTGGAAAACCAGTTGCACATATTGATTGGGAAGGTGATCTTGGCGAAATGGAATCCACTACGACTTCTTTTCCAAATGAAACAGCAACAATTGTCAGCCAATACAAGCTTTTTCCTACCAGATTTGCTAGAGGAAGGCGAATTACTTGTGTTGTCAAACATCCAGCCTTGGAAAAGGACATTCGATATTCTTTCATATTAGATATCCAGTGTAAGTAAACGATAACATTTGCTTTTTAAACATGTCATGCATTTTAACTTTCTTTGACATAATTCTGTATCAAACTGTTTTTAGTTTGAATATTTAGTATTCAGATACTCTTACAGATTTTCCTTGTTGACATTTTTTTCTTAATTAAAAAAATATTTTCATGGAAATTTCATTTAACCAGAATTTTTTTTTCAGTTTGTAAAGATGGATAATGACTTTAAAGTTGCTGTCCAACTTAAAATTATTCAACTTTGTCCTTTTTAAACCTTAAAAATAGGCTGGA